GGTGAATGCTGGTACCTGAGGTGGCTGGCACAGAGACAGGCCGGCCTTTGCAAAAGGGTAAGAGGGAAGGGCTCAGAAACCAAACCGATCGTCTGGGCACGGCTGAGGGGGGACTCCCAGGCAGAGGTTCGGCAAATGCCCAAGGGTACTGCTCAGCACAGCCGAAAACGAGATGTCCCAATGCCCGGCCCATCGTTAGTTCCAGACTGACGATGGGGGGAAGCCAAACATCAAGAGTAACAAAGTGAGAAGACAGCCCAAGTCAGGTGTGCTTTATGCTCAGGCCAGTCATCTGATCTCTGTCCTCCACCCCTCCCTGCCCAGGCCCAAATTAAGGGCTGATGACAAGAAGCATCGTAGTAATGGTGCCTTCTATTCAGCTGCCTCCTGGAGAGTCACTACCAAGGTCAACACTGCTGAGCCATGACGTACTTTCGCACCGTGCCGTTCGGGCCGCTGGGGGACCCACGAGCATCAGGAAGACCCCTCAGGCTGCCTGTGACGATGAGGTCTTTGCTGCAGGACTGCAGTCCCCACGTGGGGACACCCAGTGACGGCATCCAAGCCCAAAAGGCAGCCAGGATCAAGGAACAGGCGGGCACCGCTTCACCAAGAGTGCACCGGGACCCTCCGAGAAGGCAGCACAGCGGCAGGGGCGGCAGGGAAAAGCCAAGTGCGCGACAGTGCACACACCAGAGAGGTCCACACGTGCACGGCAGCCGCTCCCCATGCTGCCCGAGGACAAACGTCTGGAACCGATTTTTATTGTTACCACTGGGGAGCTGCTACAGACGTCAACTGGGGAGGGGGCAAGAAGCCCACTAAATGCCCTTCTCCGCACAGGACAGCCCCTACGACACAGGATCATCTGGCCAAACACGCCGACGGTGCTGTGGTGGCGAGACCTCCAGTGCAGCAAGAGGGCTTGTGGCCTCCGGGGCTTCCACCCAGACCTCGCAGGAGACACAGGAAAGAAGAGCAAACTTAACAGGCCAAGACCCGGCTCGGCTTCACGCACACCGGACGGCCTGCTGACACCAGGAGACGTGGGAGCGCACGCGGTTTCGCTCACGCAACGCTTTTCTAAAGGCAAATGATTCCAGCTCATGTCAGACCGAAATGGGCAAAAACATAAAAAAACAGGGATGCCTGGTTGGCTCAGTCAGTAGAGCACATGACTCTTAACCTCAGGGTGGGGAGTTCAAGCCCCACATTGGGAACGGAGCCTACTTAAAAAAATAATTACGGGGGCACCTGGGGGGCTCAGTCAGTTGAGCGCCTGACTTTGGCTCAGGTCATGATCTCACGGTTCAGTTTGTGGGTTCGAGCCCCACGTCGGGCTCTGTGCTGACAGCTCGGAGCCTGGAGTCTGCTTTGGATTCTGTGTCTCTCTGTCTCTCTCTCTGTCCCTCCCCTGCTCGTGCTCTCTCAAAAATCAACGTTAAAATTTTTTTTTAATTATGTAACATATGTATATATGTCACAATTACTTGAAGACACGAAGAGAGACAAAAGCAGGAAGAAAATAAATGGGACTCTGCTCCTCAAAGAAAGGAACAGTGCTGGGCGAACGTCCTGGCTTCTAGTTTCGTGCCTAAGGAGGGTCTGAGAGGACCCCTGGAACACCCTACAAGAAGGAAGACTCCCAACGGGTGAGAGCCGTGGAGGAAGAGCTCCAGATCCCGCAGACAGACTGTGCCCAAATCCCAGGCCGACACACATGTGGGGCAGAGACCACACAGCCTGGCTTATAAAGCAAGTGAAGGAAGATTCCAGCTGCTAGACAAAAAATAAACCACAAGACCACTTTTAAGATCAAAACCACAATGAGATCCCACCTCACACCCAGTGGGATGGCTACTCTCAAAAAAATACATAAAGTAACCAGCGTTGGCGAGGATGTGGGGAACCTGGGAGCCTCTGCACGGTCGGTGGGAAGGTAAAATGGTGCAGCTGCTGTGGAGAACAGTGCAGAGGCTCCCCACAGAACTAGAACCAGACCCACCACAGGATCCAGCAATTCCACCTCTGGGTATGTACACAAAAGAACGGAGAGCAGGGTCTCCAAGAGGTGTGTGCACCCCACGTTCACAGCAGCACCGTTCACATCAGCTAAGATGAGCAAGAACCCAGAGTCCGTCGACAGACACGCGGGTGAGAAAACGTGGTCCGTCCACACGGCGGAATGTTCCTCGGCCTCGAACGGGAAGGACGTCCTGCCGCCTGCCACCACACGGATGGACCTGGAGGACATTGTGCTCCGTGAAATAAGCCGGTCGTGAGGGGACAAATACTATATGATTCCACTGACAGGAGGTCCCTGGAGCGGTCAGATCACAGAGACAGAAGGCAGTTGGTGGAGCCGGGGGCTGGGGGGAGGGAGGATGGGGAGTTGGTATTTGACGGGCGTTAGAGTTTCAGACTCACAAGATGAGGACTTCTGGGGCTGGATGGTGGGGACGACTGCACGGCACGGCGGACGTACTTAATACTACTGAACGGGCACTAAAAATAGTTAAGACGGGGCACCTGGGTGGTTCAGTTAATCATCTGACTCTTGATTTCAGCTCAGGTCATGATCTCAACAGTCGTACGATTGAGCCCCAAGTCAGGCTGCCTGCTTGGGATTCTCTCCCTCCCTCTGTCCCTTCCCCACTCACACACATGCACAATCTCTCTCTCTCAAAAAACAACAACGACAACGACAAACTAGTAAAGATAAATTTCATGTTATGTGTACTTTAAGAGAATTAAAAGTAAAAAAACACTACCACTCTTAAGGGGAACATAACAGAATCCAGAGCATCTACAGCATATCATCAAAATATCCAGGATATGACCCCAAATTACTAAACATATGAAGAAACAGGGAAACCACACAAACCAACCCTGAAATAGCCCAAATATTAAAATCCAGCAAATAAGAATTTTAAAACTTTTTTTAATTAAAAAAAATGTTACTTGTATTTTAGAGAGCGAGCAAGCACGCACAGGCAGGGGAGGGGGAGAGAGAGGGAGGGAGGGGTAGGGAGAGAGAGAGGGAGAGGGAGAGAGAGATCAAGCGAGTACACAAATCCCCAACAGGCTCCATGCTCAGTGCAGAGCTTGATCCCACAGATCAAGATGCAGAGCTTGATCCCACAACCCTGTGATCATGACCTGAGCTGAAATCGAGAGTCCAACACTCAACCGACTGAGCTACCCAGGCATCCCAGCAGATAACAACTGTAAAGCATCTATTATAACCATGCTCAAGAACATAAACAAAAATGTATTAATAAAATAATAAACTGGAAATGTAACAAAGAAATAAAAACTGTTTTTAAAAAAAGAGCCAAATGTAAATTTTACAAGAGAAATACTATAACTGAAATCAGAGCATCATTGGATGGATATTAGATATACATCCAAAGTATATTAGATATGTCAGGAAACTTGAAAATAGATCGTTAAAAATTACCTTGTCTAAAAAACAGAAAAATTCATTTAAAAAAGAAAGAGGGGCATCTGATGGCTCATTAGGTCAAGCTCCTGACTCTTCATTTCAGCTCAGATCATGATCTCACGGTTGGTGAGTTCAAGCCCCATGTTGGGCTCTGTGCTGTCAGTGCAGAGCCTGCTTGGGATTCTCACTCCCTCTCTCTGTGCCCTCTGCATTCTTTCTGTCTAAAAATAAATGAATAAACTTTAAAAAAAGAAATAAAATGAGTGAGCGAGCCTCAGCAATCTACAGAACA